CAAGGACATCTCAAATCTAAGAAATGGTGGACCCCAGAACTGAAGAAACTCAAATCAAACCTCAACACACTGGAAAGGAAAGCCAAAAACACCCAAAAAGACGAAGACAGAGAAGCCTTCAGGAAAATCAGCAGGAAATGGACCGCAGAAATCCGCAAAACCAAGGCGGAACAAAGGGAGAAAGAAATCACGGAGGCCAGGGGAAGCACCATCTGGAAACTAGTCAACAAAGGGAAAAGAAGGGACATTACAGTCCCAACTATTCAAGGTGAAGAAACGTTTGCGGGGAAGTGCCAAGCTCTAAGAGCCCAACTCTTCCCCACAAATTGGACGTCCCCCAACAACCCCCCTCTCCAAATAAGACCCCCCACATTTGACCTTAGTGACGATTTGCAGGAAGTAACAACAGAAGAAATTACATCCGCAATCAAATCATGCCCAACACACTCAGCCACTGGCCCTGATAAAATCCCATACCCATTCATACAAGCAACAATCAAGGCAAACACCCAGCTCTTCCAAAATATGTTCTCAGCCATGCTCCGACATGGAGTCCAACCGGATCGATGGAAAGTGGCGAAATGTATACCAATCCCGAAACCAGGAAAATCCGACTACTCATCGGCCAAAGCCTACCGACCCATCTCTCTATTACAATGCTTTAGCAAAGTACTGGAGAAGATAGTGGCAACAAGACTATGCACCGCCGGAACTATCCTGGAAACCCTCAGTAAAGACCAATTCCGAGGCAGACCAACAATTTCAACGATCGATGCTCTACTCCGCACGCTCACGCCCATCCAACAGAACCTCCTGATCAAGCGAACTACAGGAACTACCCCAGACAGACCAGCACTCCTCACAAATGATATACAAGGAGCCTTGAACTGTGTCGACCACTTCCTACTCGCCGAGATCATGACCCAACAAACATTCCCAACATACCTGATGACCTGGTGCAGGGAATTCAACACCAATCGAACACTTCAATTTCAATTCAACCACGAACTGGAACCACCACGACCATATACCTCAGGACTACCCCAAGGATCCCCCCTATCCCCAGTATTATTTATGATATACGCTGGGGTAATAACAGACCCCACCAACTCCCCCAAAGAAATCAACACCACCTACATCGACGACGACGCACTCATCCAACTCGCGAAGTCCCCTCTCTTCATCACCAAAAGACTTAACGAAAGGATGGAGGAAAGAATTAAGAAAGCAGAACCCCTCAACATCAAATACGAACCCCAAAAATCCGACCTAGTCTTCTTCAAACCCACAACATCAAGCACCCTGAACCTCAAAAACTCGGTAACGATCGCAAAAGAAGAAATCCACCCCAAGGATAGACTCAAACACGTAGGAGTCTGGCTGGACTCAACGCTCTCCTTCCGACCACACATCGAAGAAACCATCGCCAAAGGCCTCAAAGCCCTAGGAAGAATCAGAAACATCGCCTACCTACCAGGATCAACAGTAAAATCCATCCACCACCTCATCGTCCAAGGCTTCCTCCCCACCATCCTATGGGGATCAGAGGCATGGTGGACAGGAGCCGACCACATCCTCCAATCACTATCCCCCCTCTACAACGAAGCCGCCAGAATAATAACAGGCCTACCCCGCTGGACAAAAACCGAAAAGCTACTGAAAGAGGCAGCACTCCCCCCACTCGAACACCTCCTCAACCACAAATCACAGAAGTATGGGACGCGCATCCTCTGCCACCCTGCGGACCACCCACTTAACGAAGGACTCATACAGCTCCTCCCCACCAGAACAAAAAATATCAAAGGCACAGGCCTACATCGGATCGCATCACTCATGCTACCCTTTCAGGAACCAGGGAACCACAGAGAGCGATGGATACAGAATGATACACTCACCAAACGCATGCTGGAAGAGTGGAACACTATCCCACTCATCAACTACCACGAACCAGGAAGCCTAAAGATCCAACCAAAGCGAGCAAAACTTCCCCGATCCAAAGCAAAACTCATACACCGCATACGATGTCAAGTCACAAGGATGGACAGACATGCAGCATTCACGGAACCCGAACCCTGCCAATGTGGCTCGGAACAATCCTCCAAACACACCATAACCGACTGCCCACGATGGACACAACTACGAAGACCACTTCTGGATAAAATCCCAGGGCCGCCCACTTGGGAAAACTGGCTATTCACCAATCTCAACATAGACCTGATTCTACAATTTGCGGCAAAAACCAACCTACTCGACTGGTACGAAATGGACGAGGAGGACCCGGAGGAATGATGACCGGTTTCTTTGGTTTACTTTCTCTTTTTCTGTACCTTCTCATGATTGCTTACGTTGCTTTTCCTTTCCTTTTCTGTTTTTCCTATGTTTTGGCGAGGATCCGGCGTGCGATAAGTCCTGTACTTCAAAGCAATATAAAACTATCTATCTATCTTGTATGTACTCCACGAATACTATCTTGTATGTACTCCACGAATACTATTTTGTTCTACGCCTCGTCATAGGGTTCAACCAGTTAGTCATACTAGGTAGAGCCACTCCATAGCCCATAGTCTCGAATACCTATTGCTACGTCTTCGCCTCGGTTGTATTCCTTGGCACAATAGTCCCTACGTCCATAGACCCCCGTTACAGTAAAGTCTTTTGACTCTTGAAATAATCCACAAATGCGAACTGTTGAATTACTTCTTTGAATGCCCATTCCACAACTATTCTCACTCAAGACATAGCTTTATTCCAATCTTTCTCATCCTGTGTCACTCTGGCGCCTTGGAATGGTGATATTAGAAAGCCCTTGATGCCATATGCTGGGTCACCATAAATTTGAACGGGTGTGCCATCTGGTTTGTATCCGTGAGCTTCGAGCATTGGAAGGATTTCACTTTGTACCATAATAGTAGAATCGTGTAACCGTTCTTCTACTGGGCCATAAAGATGAATGATTAGCCCATCGGGAGCCACAATAGCCTGATATTTGAGATAATGACCCCTTTTCCAACCATTATATACCGACTCCTGTCCGTAAATTGGTTTTGCTATTCGACGAATAGTACCGTCTATAAACCCCCAACAGGTTTCCAAAGGTGCGTCTTTTTCCCGAATTGCGATTGTGTAAGATGCCAATCGTTCGTGTGAGAGAAGATGCTCATCGAAAAATAATAAATATTTCCATTTATCGTATATGTACTTGAGGAGTGTGTTGCAAATACGTGAGGTTCTTTCTGGTTTCCATCCAAATTGAAGATGCAAATCGCTTATGCGTGAAGGGTATGCCAACCGGGCCAGCAACATGCAAAGTGCTTGCAATTTTTCTTCTTTTATTCTATTGTCACCGTGGATGTATTCAGGTAGCTGGAGGGCTTCCGATAGGCGTACTACTTCTTCCTGGGTAAATCTGAAGTAGGTTTTCCAGGTATCCGGGTGCAAAGTGTTCAAATCCAACACCCCGTCTTCTCTTTCCTGCCCTCGCCATCTCGTATTGGTCCTTTTCACCTTCGATGATAAAAGACGAACTTTAGCGATATCTCGCTGGCGCTTGTGCAGGATAGCATAGGCTGTGTACATTCTGCGCGAGGATGGCTTTCTAAATCTTCAAGAATTTTCAAGAACGGAGCAAAACTGAAATAGTTGTGAGCATTTGAAGTGGCGGACGTCAAATACGAAGATTTGACCTACAGACTGGATCTAAACTTTCTGCTGGATGCAACGATGCAAGCCAAGCCAATGATCAACACCCGCCGAGCCACTAAAAAAGACTCCGGACCTCCCAGCGCAAAGTCTGTAATAGGCGAGAGGTAATACCGCCAAAACTCGAAAAATTGGCTATCTCCGGCCAGGGATTATCACTCGAGTGATTGTTTGAATGACATCGATCTACATCAGAGGTTTCCCATACAAGTAATTCTAATCTCTGGAAGCTAGCCAATTTTTCGAGTTATGGCGGTATTTCGGACGCGTACTAGTCCTGATATACCCAAAGATTGCAAATCCAAAGTGACTCATACCCTTGCAACAAACAGAACGCCATAGAAACCGATAGAACTCTTCTGACTAATCCAACTCCTTATAACCCAGCGTATTAACCAACCGGTCCATGAAACTTCCTAGCGCTCAGAATGTAGTTACTCTGACAGCTGATAACTAACCACACTGCCGGCACTTGCATGTCACTGTGCAATTCGAACAATAACTCTCGGCATGTAACCGGGCCCTGTGTGTACAGCTTGCGGTAGAAATATGGGAGGAGTCCTATTGGCTTGCCCAGCCACAGAAAGCCTGTTTTTAGACCCCTGTTTCTACAATAATTTTACCTCTCTCTGTACTCATACACCAAACAGTTGGAATGCCAGTGGCTCCATTACAACCATCACCATTACTATCACCATCACTCTCGGTATATCATGATATATGGAGGCAGGTATGGGCGTGGTATAGGTCACCCATGCCGCTTTCGCCAGACTCATGTGCATATTACTCTTTTCTAACTGTTACAGGCCCATCACTAGAGGAGATTATCTGAGGATGCTGGTTGATAGATTTGTGATTAATTCAGTGGGGAGGAGAAACCTCACCATGAAATTCAATATCATGATCTGACTCTATCCATACATAATTTCGAATATAAACAGCATTGAGCTATACCACGTTGGGTCACAAATAACCCTCATATGGCTGTAACTTATCTTTTGCGTCCCAAAGAGGAAATTCGGACTATTTTTTATCCTCCCCAGGAGGGATAGCTTATCCGGTTTACACCAAAACAGTTGTACCATAAGGGCTGAGAGGTTTATATGAATATCTTGCCGGTTTTGCATTTTTTCTGGCTTTTTTTTCTGGCTTTTTTTTCTGGGCAGTGTTTCAAAGCATAGAAAAATTAAGTAATCCCCTGATACATTGAATCAATATCATAAACTTCCCGTCGACCAGTTCAGACACTACATACTTCAACACAAATATATGTAGGATACGGGCCACCTCTCCATGGCCATCTACCTAACCACGTCACCCCGTTTCTGAGAGCTCTTAACCGTTACCATCGCTCTACGAATTGTCACCGGCTCTTTAATAAACGTGCCTGTTTCATCTAGATCCCTTCTCTGTACTGGCGGGAACGATACCGTCTGAACCGTAAAATGGTGAGAATGTTTTCCGGTCGACTCCTCATCCTCATCGACCGTGTCGGACGTGTCTTCCATGATACTAGCCAAGTATACCGAACCTGGCTGGATTTGAGGCAGTAAGAATTCCGACACTTGTCGCGAGGTTTCGAATCCGAGATGGGCCGCCTTCTCCAGGATTGAGAACAACCCCAGTTCGCATTTATCATCGCATCCTGCTTTCAGAAGGCTACTAAATAGCGGGTAAATTTGGCTTGTCCGACGGAGAATTTGGGTGCGTAAAGCCTCCTTGAACTTTGGATTGCTCATGAGCATTTTTATCATCTGAGCTTGTAGCTCTTGTCTTTCCCGGTCTAAGTACGCACCTCGCACTGGCGGTTAGATGTTGCTTTCGCTTTGTTCCTAGACCAATAATGCACCATTGATCGAGCGTTCACATACCAATTCCCCAAAAATCTTCTAGCATGCTAGACGGGCGCCTATTGCCAAGAATTCTAAATGCCAACTGCGGCCAGCAAAAAGCCCAATTAAGAATCAACTCGGTGACCGACGCTTCGATATCTTTTACCACAACTGTTCTATCCGGCACCGGGAAGTAATCACTGATAGTAGCTGCCATTGCCTCCTGCAATTTCGGTGGAAGGCTTCTGTGGTTTACCTCTGGTCCGTTGCGGAAATATCTGAAGGCCCATTGACGAATAGCGCCGGCTAAGCCCGAAAACTCTCCGTCGAAATAGGCATCGTCTCTTGTGACTGTATTGACGCTAGGTATGGATTTTGATATTGCTTCGGTTAGTTCGGCGATGTTCTGCTGCTTTACTGCCAACGTTTCTTCAAGCTTCTTCATCTCATCCACCACCTCCCGGAGGGCGGTGATTTCACGATCCTGCCTGGTGATAAATTTCTTGAGATCATCTACCTCAAACGTCATCTTTTTGTTTTTCTGAGAGAGAGATCCAATCTCAGTCTCCTTGTTTTTGAGTGACCTCCTTGCTGCAGCATGTCTCTTCTCGAGTTCTTCCTTCTTCTCCTTATATCGCTCGGCACGCCTCTTATAATAATCCCGCTCTTTCTGAAGAACCTCTCGCTCTTCTGCATGCTTGCCCTGTGCAGCCTATGTTTTCTTATTAACGGACGTGATGATAGGAATATATTGGAAGAATTACGTACTAGACGCGCAGAGGGCAGAGGTTCCATGATCCCGGCACCAGATTCCACCTCGGTGGGTTGGGTGCGGTCCAAAGAAATGCTGCTTCGGGGGCCACCTTCACGGTTATGGGAAGCCCCGTTCTCTGCTGGGCTTTCAATGTGTTTGGTGGCCGTGATAGCGGCTTTGATCATATTGTAAACTTGCATTGGTTTTAAACGGTATAAGACCTCGAGAATTCGTACGAAGTGCCGTTCTGTAGTGCTTTAAGCTTTTCAATATGGAAATGTTGGACTGATTGGAAGTGCTGGCGGGATCCAGGCGTTACGAGATATGGCTGCCTGATATTAACATGACCTATGCCCTAGATGGCTATGGGTTTCTAAAGTGCCTACATAGATTTGATAGCTTCGGCCAATAAAGGTTGTACCCCGCAAACGGCTATTTTGGGCAGATCATTGGCAGAGCCAGTCTATCCATGTGAAAAGCTGCGATCAAGCCCCCATCTAACAATCAGCACACTGTGTCTATATATTTCAAGTATACATACATACACCTATAAAGTATAGTATCTACACACCACTTTTCCCTTCGCGCATAGCAGGTATACCTATATTGGAAATCAACTTGGTTTCGACTCTACCTTACATTGAATAGACCTCTCCCCTTACGGGAATACAGCTGCAGTAGTTAGCTCCAAAAACGAAGAAACTATTCTTCATACCGCCTGTTAGTCAATCTTAATCAAAAATTTGGGCGAGGGGTTGTTCGAGTGGCTAGGGCTGAAGGCGTCCATTCAGATGTGCTAGACCTTTAGAGTATGAAAACTGTAAAGTAGTAGCACATGTATGGATGTATAAGCTGCCGCGGGCTAGCACAAGGACCGTGTCCAGATATAGATTGCAACCAAGGGTCGCGATGAAAACCTGTTTACCAATAATATTAAGGCATCCAATATATAGGCAATCTTTTGAGATAAGGACGCCGGACAATATATTAGTACTAGTGCTCCTTACCTCCACAGCATTACGAGCAGAATCTTGACTAACTACTCGTTCAGCCCTCTACTCTTCTGGAAGCTCGACGATACACTAGCACCTGTGGAAACATACCTCGCTCTCCAAACTCCCTGCCAGCTGATAATCAATAGAAAATGGCCGCTCATTGCCTCAAAGTGGGGATAGACTTTGGAACGACGTTCTCTGGAGTCGCATATGTAAGCTGCCAAGCAACGCGCAACTTCTTAAACTCGCTAATGATTTCTTTAGATTGATACTGCGAAACCAGACGATGTTATCTCAATAATGAATTGGCCCGGTGTAAATGAACCTCTCATCTGATCATCATCGTTATAACCACATCTATGATCCGGAAATGATCTTGTGCTGAACTGACGGTTCCTGTTTCACACAATAGGAGCCGAGGAATTTTGAGAAAGTACCTAGTGAGATTTCATATAACGCTGCTGGAGAAGTACACAAGTGGGGCTATGAGATCAACGAAAAGGATGAAAAACTGGCTTGGTTCAAGCTTCTTCTGGACCCAACCCAGTATGCCAGCAAAAACTCCTCAACTCTTTCCAGAACGCTTGACCAGTTTCCAGAAGGCCCACAATCGAAAGAACCAGTCCATGTGGTTTCGGATTACCTTTCGTGCCTAAGAAAGCATACGCTTGCAACCTTAGAACGATCCTACGGAAAGGTTTTCATGAACGCAATACCAATAAAATACACATTAACAGTTCCTGCGGTACGCAATATGAACAAAAGAGCCCCCCCTTTATCGTTGTTTTGACATGACTGATATTTTCTTGCCAGATGTGGACCGATACCGCAAAGGCGCTAACTCTGGACGCCGCTGTTGGCGCAGGTTTGGGGAGCAGGGATGAGATTGAGTTGATGTCTGAGCCAGACGCTGCTGCAGCATGGACTCTCTTGAAGGATCTCCAGTCTACGCATCTTAAGGTCAGGCTTCGGCACCCTTCCCATGACATTAATTCCCTATGCTAAGACGTGAAAAAGCGAGGTGACGTCTTTGTTGTGGTTGATTGCGGCGGTGGGACCGTTGTAAGTTATTCTCTACATTGATATTTCCCCGTATATCGTCAAACCCAGTCTGCAATTGTTGTCTCTCATTTTTCACATACCATGCCACGAACTACCATGAGGTGGTAGGATGAGCTCCCTCTGCATTGACTGACATTAACTCATAGGACCTAATATCATACGAGATCCTGTCACTCAGCCCAAATATCTCGGTGAAAGAGTGTGCCGGTGGTAAAGGAGAATTATGCGGCTCTACATTTCTCAACCAAAGATTTGAGGACTTGGTGATATCACGCGCGGGGAAACAGTAACTATTGCTAGCCACCTCATGGTAGAGAGATATCCATGCTAACTCGTATCAGAAACTTTGATAAGATGAAGACTAGGTCACTAAATAGGATGCTTAGGGAGTTTGACCAATCCCTAAAACGAAACTTTACAAATGCAGAAGACGATGATGAATTTGTTTGCGCTGCTGGTGGATTGCCAGATAAGCCCGAAGCAGGGATCGAATGTGGCGAGTTTACTTTTACACGGGAGGACATGCTTGGTATATTTGATCCTATCATTGATCGAATAGTTCCTCTTGTCCAAAACCAAATCGATGTGGTTGACGCTCAGCATGCGGGAGTGTCGCCAGTTTCGGTACGTTTGCTGTTCTGGTCGCGGTGAGGTGTGCGCACCGCCAGATCTTTCCTTCTCTAACCAACAACATATAGGCTGTCCTCTTGGTTGGGGGCTTTGGCTCTTCCCAATATCTATATCAGCGCTTGCAGAACGAATTGAAGAAGGGGAAAGGAATCCACAGATCGTCGCCGGAGATTCTTCAACCTGTACACGCGTAATATACATACCTATCGAAAGATTTAACCTTGGATTAGAAAACTGACATCCAAATATAGTTGGAGTGCTGTTGCGCGCGGTGCTGCGCACGGCATTCACATCAGCAGTCGAAAGGCACGAAGACATTACGGCACCAAAATTCTCGCCGCATTCATCCATGGCAAACACCCAATTGAAAATATGGAAATATGTAGATACTCTGGTAGGCAGAGGTGCGAAAATGTCATGGACTGGTTCATCAACTATGTACGGATATCCGAAATGAGCAAAGGAAAACTAGCGTCGAACATCTACTGATAACAGATGAATTAGGGCGACCAAGTTTCGGAAAACGCCCCAATCTCAATCACCTACTATAGAAATGTAGGACTGAGTGATAGCTTGATATTCTATGATGACCTCTATGAATATGCGGGAACAAGCGCGCCAGAATACTCGAATCGACCTCACAACGGAAGTAAGTTATATATAGTGGTCCCTTGTACTCATCGAAGCAACTGCTTACCGCTATCAGCACTTCGAACGCTCTGCAAAGTCACCTCTGACCTCAGCAATGTCTCAAAAAGTCGTTTTCGGCTCTCGCGAGGCATAAATGGACAGCCCTTCTACGAGGTTTTCTTCAACTTGGTGATCACAATAAAGTCAGCTGCTATTGTTTTCCATTTGGAGCTCGATGGTGTCAAGTATGGAACTGCTAAAGCAACTTACATACACGACTTCAATGCCATGAGAGCCTGAGGCAGACTGGGGCTGGAGGACCACTATCCGAAGCTGAGAAAGGAGGCTTAGAATCACTGTAAAATATGTGTATTTCTTTAAATATTGATGACCTTTTTTTTCGGTTGTGGGTGTCAGAGGCAAGACTAGAGTTGATATCTCGATCTATCAACCTAGTATAAACCGAGCTGGTGTCTCATATTGAATCAGTAATTGCTTTTGAGACTTTGACTTTCAAATTGCGATCTTTGTAAACAAATGGCCATATTGCAACTACTTGAACACATCCGAATCTTCATCCGCTTTCGTTCTGCACGAAATAGCTGTGTGCGCCGCCGGTAGGAGCCTCCGCAGAAGTCTGAGAGTCATCTCCTCCGATTTCTTTCCTTAACCATATATTTTCCTTTGAATCCTGTATTCCCAACCTTCGATCTCGGCCCATATACAGGCTCACTACCAGACATGTAAATGCATCTTTTAATGCATCTTTTTTTCGGTGGGGCAATGCATCTTTTTTTTATATGGGTAAACTCGTCCGAAAGTCGTACTTTAAATGTGTTACTTTTAATATGCGTGGAAATGCATCAATAATGGATCAAACAATGAATCTTTTAATGCATTAAAAGTAGGCATTTACCTATTACCCATAGCGGTAATAAAAACAAAATGTGAGCGCTGGGGGATTTGAACTAGAGCCAATCCTTCAACTACTCAATACCATATCTACTACACCATGGTTGAGGATGGTATCTTAGCATTTGTAGAATTAATGAATGGAGGATGATGAGGAAAGTACATTGTAAAGTCGTTGATTGGTCGTCTGAAATGGATACAAAAGTCGTATGTGATCCAAAAGTGTAAAATAAGAACCCATAAGTCGTCCATTAATCGTTTTAAAATCGTTTCCTGAGCACCTTCCGAGTAAAAGCATCAAACAATGCATCAAATAATGCATCAGGTGATGCATTTACAAATAACGTCCCGAGTTAATGCATCATTTGTGCCCTTTCCTCGTCGATTTCGTATGGGCAATGTGCAAATTGATGCATTAACATGTCTGGTAGAGGCTGGCATGATGCATAGGTTTATTAAACCCAGGTACATGGTGTCAACATGTTGGAATTAGCTCTAACCTCAAACCATGCAATTGGGCAACTAGTTTCAATTATATTACCAGAGCTCCTAGTGACTGAGTCTTGGATCTATCAGGCAGCTCGAATAATCAATTCTGCTTACGGTATCCCCTTTCTCATACAATATAACCCCAACAACGACGCATATTATACGCAGTTTGATAATCCGTAATGACACTAAATCGACCAATATCAGCCCTCACTATAAGGTTTCAACCTCAACTACTAGCACCAGTGAATACGGCCCAACTATCGAACCACCGATCAAATCATATTGCATCACTCGACTCCGTCATAGAATATCACTCAAGGCTCAAGGAATCTTTCTCCGTCACTCGTATATTCCTGCGTCATACCATATTCGGTTAGTGTAGCAAAGGACAGACCCCAGGCAACGAATCCAACGAGGCATTTTACCCCATGAACCAAACCTAATCCCTATCTGTGTGTTTTGAA